CCAAGATGCCACCCATGGCTGCCCTCTGGCAGTGGGAGCCATTGCCTGGGTGCTGTCCCTGCAGGCCTTGTCCCCAGTCCCCCTGCAGGCCCTGCCAGGGGCTCTGAGATGTCTCTGTATTCCTCTCCTGTGCAGGTGAGCACCCCCAGCTCTCCCAGCTTTAGATCATCTTCCAGACACAGATTAGGGAAGCATAGACAGAGAAGGATTTCTCATGGATCTAAACATTGCCAGGCTGTTCCTGGCCTTTCCTGCTTTATTGCCCCAAAGCAAAGCAGCAGCTGGACTGTGGTGATCCCAGGTGGTCCCAGGTGATCCCAGTTCCTGAGCAGAGCTGGATTTGGTCAGCCCTGAGCCTGGGGCTTAAAGCAGTGTCTCCAGAGAGCGTGTGCCATGTGGTTTCTCTTTGGTCTGCAGCCCAACGCCTCCCTGTTCGAGGCCTGCTGCAACGAGCGCATCCAGCAGTTCGACGACAACGAGGAGGAGGAGGATATCTGGGAGGAGAAGGACATCTCCTACGCCACCCAGGTCAAGTCCAGGACACGGTAAGGTGAAAGCAGAACTCTGATTTGCTCCCTGCTGCTGGGAATCTGCACATTCCAGTCCAGGCCAGGAGGAATTCCTTGGGTTTTGTGTCATTTTGGGGCTGTGAGGTTTTGTCTGACACAACCCTGAGCACTTTCCCTGCCACTTGTGCTGGGGGTTCTCCTGAACTGGAGACAGATCCAGTTCAAGGGAGTTCATTAACAATGGGGACACCTAATGAGTGAGTCTTCCATCAAACACATTAAAAACCCCCACCCTTAGTGTGAAACACTTGGAATTTGCTCCTTCTCTTATCCTTGGAGAGGAGGAGGAGGAGGAGGAGGTGAGACTGAGGGGAGTGGGCAGAACATTCTTTCTCAGAACATTCAAATCAGAAAAGTGAGAACAAGAGGCCTCCCAGGGGCATCTCGGGCTTTGAAATAATTTTTCATCCCTTTGACAGAGCCACTCATTAAAATAAAGTTATTTCCATAATTCTCAATCTGCAATTTGATCAAAGGAAACAGAGAAAACATCCAAGACTTCCCTGTGTCCTTGCCAAGCATCAGCAGCCTCAGGTCCTGCCTGGGCATGGGGTGGGCTCCACGCCAGTGTCTGTCCCCTCTCTGAGCACTGGTTTGTGTGGTGTCCCCAGCCCTGGCTCTGTCCTGCCCCTCCAGGGAATGCTGGCAGCAAAGCCCTCAGGAATCTGGGGGAATCTCTCTGTGCACCCAGGAGTGCCTGAGCCCTCGGGGGAAACACTTTGGGGGAAACAGCCCTGGCAAAGGCTCTGGGCTGCCTCCCCAGGGACAGGGAGGAGGAGCTGCGGGGTCCAGGCGTGGCTCATTCCCAGTTCCCGTTCAGGTTTGGAGCCTCACAGACGTCAGAGAGCTCCAAGAGTGACCTGGAGAACGGGGACCACGACGGCAGTGTGGACTCGGAGGAGGAGGAGGAGCGGCCCCCACCCCCCTCCCCACACAAGGGCAGCGCCCCAGAGCAGAAGGACTCAGACTCCTGCCAAGGTACCGGGCTTGGGAGCACCTCCCTGGGGCTGCAGGGGTCACAGCAGCACTGGCCAGGGGAAACCGGGGTGTCAGGGCTCCCCTTGTGCCTCTGGAGCCCTGGAGCTGCAGCCCTGTCCAGGACTGCCCTTGTGTCAGGCAGCCCCACAGGGAGAATCCCAGGGAAGGGGTCCCTGCCCGTGGCAGGGCTTGGAATGAGAGGGGCTGTAAGGTCCCCTCACACCCAAGCCATTCCATGGTTCTGTGGCTCCCTGAATCCCAGCTCCTTCAGTGCAATCCCAGTCAAAGCAGCAGTGCAGGGATGTGACCTGAACTCGTCCCATCCCAGGACAGGAGTTGTGTGCCCACCTTTGCCAGGTGTCTCCACACCCTCATCCCTGCCTGCTCTGCTTTTCCAGCCGTGCTCTGCCTGTGGCAGTCCCATCCCTACAGTGACTGGAGCAGGAGTGCAGAGGGACAGGCTTTTCCTGGAATCCCAGGAATGGTTCATGTGGGCAGGGACCCCAGAGCCCCTGCAGTGCCACCCCTGCCATCCAGGGACACCTCCCACTGTGCCAGGCTGCTCCAGCCCCATGTCCAGCCTGGCCTTGGGCACTGCAGGGATCAGGGGCAGCCCCAGCTGCTCTGGCAATGCCAGCCCAGCCCCTGCCCACCCTCCCAGACAGGAATTCCTTCCTAAGATGCCATCTAAACCTGGGGCTCAAGCCATTCCCTGTGTCCTGTCCCTCCAGGCCCCTGTGCATTGTCATTTTTCATCTTGTCTGCTCCTTTCAGGGATTTTCACAACTCTGTGTAAATGACACCATGGGAATGCTGGACATACATGGTGCTGTCAGCAGAACAATTCCAAGGGACAAAACACTTTCCCAACCATCCATTTTCCCATGCTTTTTGAATTCTGTGCAGTTTTTTTCTCTGGGTGCTGCCTTTGTGTTGTCACTGTGAGCACCAGGCAGGGTTATCCCAGGTTCTCTGCACCCCTTTGGAAGTGTCAGATAATTCCAGTCCATTGGGAATAACCAGTATGAACCACCCAGTCCCAGTGGGCTCTGTGTGTGGCAGCCCCGTCACCCTCTGGAGACTCAGCTGGAATTTGGGATCAGTTTTGGGGATGCAGCCCGGGGGGGGCTCTCCTGCCTGGTTCTGTTCCTGCAGAGCTCTGAATCCTCCCTCTTCCCTGGGGAAAGCTAAGGAAAAATGCTGTTCCAAAGGTGGCATTTGTAGGACTGGAAGTAGGAAGTGGGAGTAGAAGTGGAAGGAGGTTCTGAAGGAGGAATTGTCCAGGACTGTAAAAAAAAGCAATGGGTGATTTTTAGGATCTTAAATATTGGAATCCATTGATCAGTTCTTTACCTGAAACACAACCATTGGAGATGGAGATGGCAGCTTTTGGCAGGGAACTGAGGGGCTTGGACCTGGAAATCACTGGCTTGGGGGATGAAGCCACTTGTGGTGTCATTGATCTCCACGGATGCCTCTCCTGGGGATAAACACCTGCAGAGGGATTTCTGTGGGACACAGGCGGGTGTGCAAGGGGGGCCCTGGCATGGGTCACTGTGTCCCTGGGATCCGGGGATGTTCCTGAGATGTCCCTGGGATCCCAAGGATGTTCCTGGGTTGCGATGTCCCTGGGATGCCCTTGGGATCCCAAGGATGTTCCTGGGCTGGGTTGTTGCGTCTCTGGGATGTCCCTGGGATCCCTAGGGTGTCCCTGGGTGGGTCACTGTGTCCCTGGGATCCCGGGGATGTTCCTGGGATGTTCCTGGGATGTTCCTGGGATGCCCTTGGGATCCCAAGGATGTTCCTGGGCTGTGTTACTGTCCCTGGGATCCCGGGGATGTTCCTGGGTTGGGTTACTATGTCCCTGGGATCCCTAGGGTGCAGTTGGGATGTCTCTGGGATTCCAGGGTAATCCCAGGGATGTTCCTCAGCTGGGTTGTTGTGTCCCTGGGATCCCTAGGGTGTCCCTGGATGGGTTG